CCTCGCCTGAGATCGTTTTGCACCTCCCCTGAGATCGTTTTGCACCTCGCCTGAGATCGTTTTGCACCTCGCCTGAGATTGTTTTGCACCTCGCCTGAGATCGTTTTGCACCTCGCCTGAGATCGTTTTGCACCTCCCCTGAGATCGTTTTGCACCTCGCCTGAGATCGTTTTGCACCTCCCCTGAGATCGTTTTGCACCTCCCCTAAGATCGTTTTGCACCTCCCCTGAGATCGTTTTGCACCTCCCCTAAGATCGTTTTGCACCTCGCCTGAGATCGTTTTGCACCTCGCCTGAGATTGTTTTGCACCTCCCCTGAAAAGTCATGCACCTCCCCTTGGGAAAGTTGTAATGATAGATCAAACTGAAAATTTGACATTTTTTGGTTACTTAGAGTCTACACTTCGTAAGAAAGTTTTTCTGTAAAATTGAAACAGTGTTAGCCATTCATCTCTGTGTCAAGTACCTTTTAATGCAATATTTCGAAAGAAACTTTGTAGTAATTGTAATGAAGGGCAAAATTAGATGAGTTGTACAGTCATAATTCATTAATACACAGGTACATATACACACTACATGCATATGCCACGTTGTTAACGTTGGCCCTGTGTGGGGCCAGTACTGTTCAAAGCATGGTTAGTGTTAAAATTTAACCTGCTGTTTTGGTTCGCACATTTCTTCAGGTCGGTTTGTTTTAAATGCCCAAAAAACAGATTGGGGAAATATTTCCAAGGTTATAATTACACTGTATATCTGGGGCGGGCCATTTAAGCATATATTGTTTATATAAGGTCCAGGTCTTCTTTCGTTTTTCTTTCTGATCTTTTGGTTCATTGGTGTCATTGGATTAACCTCAGAAGCATTAGAAAAAATAACTGTTCACAATTCTATTTAGATTATGGTATTCATTTGGCACAACTTTCGGTTGATGTAAATGGAGCCTTACCAATTAGGCAGGTAAGGAGGATTTTATAAAATGATTTAGCTTTGTATCATGATGAGATCTTGTAAGCTCAAGAGTCAGGTAAATAGCTGGTTTCACGAAGGAGTATGTATGATCGGGAGTGATAGATATTTAGATTTGGGGCATAACTGAATCTAGATGGGATATTTGTAGATGAAAATTTCAAACAAAAATATATATGTACAAAATAACAAATTCAGGGTTCGAATTAGAGAGAAAAAGTCGACTCGCAATTTTTTTTGTGAATTTTGAAATTCTTGCCCCTAGAAATTATAAAATTATATTCCGCCCCATTCCGGAAAACTTACTTTACAAACTGCATACAAAAGACAGTATATTGTTAACAATTTAGTATAAGTGGACAAAAAATTGAAGCTTTGTGTAGGTATTTGATTGCCAATGGTTGTTAAATCACGAGAAAGTGGGATTTTATGTTCACGATGCGTCAAAACCGCGATGTTTACAAGCTTGATGGGGCCTGGGATGACAAAATGGCGGCCAATTTTAGGTCGAGAATGCACTGTCCGAATTGCGTAAATATTTCACCTATATTTCTTTGTTTCACATACGTTTAAAAAAAAACGCTGAATGCAAAAATTGAAAACGAGTACATTTTTACGAGTTACAGGAACAATCGCAATTGCTCAACCGTTATGGAATTGTTTTAATAAGGATCCTACTAAAAATGTCTATCTAGTGATCATAAACAAGAAAACATGGTATTTTAGCGAATGAGAAAGCATTGACGTGCATTGTCGTGGTGCAAAGATGTCTTTTCCAATATTCTCAGACATGTTATTTTGGGAAGCATGCGCGAAAAATGTAAAATATTATAAGTTGGAGAAATGATTTTTCTCTTATTTTCTGCATGTAAAACGTATAGAAGATGGAGCCCTAACCAGAGCTCTGTCATTTTGGAAGGTATATTTCCTGAAGCACGCCTAATCAATGTAGAGTGTCTTTCTCTTTGCCCTTAGTACATACTCTTTATTTATCACCTTACATTGCAGTTCGACTATACATATATCAGCTAGAATTTGTTATTACAGTAGATACGCGCAGTAAAAGTGCGCAGTGCAAAACTGATGAATCACCTTATAGTATAATAGTTGATGTAGAGGCTATGGAAGTTGTAAAATCAAAACATTGCTGTGGATATCATACAAAATATACGGAGAATCTTCCCAAACATCTCAGTTTCAAGGTTCGATAAACATAGTTAGGATAAACATAGTTAGGAAAGTAATATCACAATTGTTGTAAAAATAAATAGTCTTATAGCTTAGTAGGTAACATAAGTGAGCGTAACACTTGATGTAATCGGTCATTAAAAAGCCCGATGGAGAGTGAGCTGAATAATTATATATATATATATATATATATATATATATATATATATATATATATAAGGTACAGAGCATGAGATAAACTGGACGAGAATATGACCTGCATGAGGTACTGTACATACTGCATGCTTTGGACTGATATTTTCTTTTCTTGTACCGAAAGCTAAGCCCTCGAAAAAATTGATTCCCACAACTTTGAATGCAGTTTTACTGTAATTGCCTGTCGTCTCTCCATGTATTACAGACATTTACTGTGGCTGGAGTGAGTGAATTCTATATCGCTGTAAATCACACGTCTCTCTAGCCTTACCGGCTTTACAAGTTCATTGAGTCTCGGGATTCAATAGTTCTCTTCAATGACGGCCATGATATAATTATACATGTACATGTATACAGTAAGTTAAAAATCCTGCCTTACAGGTACCAACCGTTATGGGTATTGATTTCTCGCGACCAGCTTTCCAGTGAACGTAGAATTCGTTGGTAAACAAATCCAGTACATTCCTTCTACCCTACCATGGCGTTCCAAGACACCTTGATAATTCTCTGACCCGTTGAACTTACCTTACCTTTATCTTGAGCTCGCGTTATCAACAACTTATCTCGCCTCATGCTTTTCTCACAATTTCGGATGAATTTGAAATTCCAGGGAATGACTCTCAGCGAATAATTCTCAAAATTCAATATCAATTATGTTTTTTGTTTTTCGTTTTTTTTAGTTGGCATCCGTTGTCCTAAAGCAGTATGTTCAAGTTCATTGGTCATCGATATCAGAAAAATTCACCCCACCAGAAACGTCTGGCAAAGTAAGTACTTATTCGTAAGTTCCTGTAAGTACTGTATGGCTGCAATCATAATACTGCGCTGAGGGTTATGCGCTTGACGTTTGACCGTGGTGTTAACCAAACTAGGAGAATGTTGAGAAAGATATGCCGATTATGTTTAAAATATTTTCAGCTTATTTTTCAAGCGTTAGCTTGCAGGTACAGATAGAATTGTTAAGACCTAATATTTCAAGTTATTCCTATTTGTTGCTAAGGTGTGGCAACTGGTTATGCTATGCTAATAACCTTGCATCTAAATAGATGTTAAAGGCGACACATTATGCAAATCATTAAAAATGTGCATAGCATGACCCGTTGGTATGGCTAGCTTCGCCACTGGGTGTGGTTTTAGTAACCCGTGTGGCTATGTTACTGTGCTCCCCAGTCCTCTCCAAGGCCAGTTTTCCATTTTACCCAAATTTGAGAATTCGAAAAGGGGGTTTTGGTGTGGTTAGTTCGAAACGTATCAGATAAAGTCGTTCAGTTTCTATAACGTCACCACCCAAACTGCTTGAAATGGCATTCATTGACTGTCCCTTTTAGAATTTCCCAAGCAAGCGATATTAGTTGTGATCATACAGTAGATCATCACTGGGACTTTTTTTTCTCAGGCGAAGGCGGTTATTCGTGAACTTCTCCCTCGTGGTTTACAAGATTCAACCAGTAAAATTCGCTCTAGCGTGGTAGGTGTTATAGTTTTTATGTTCAATTTTTCATTCTTTAAAGTGCACCTAACCTCAATTCTTTTTATCATTTCATTCAAGATTAAGAACTTCTGAAATGATATAATAACTTATTTTGAAGATTTTCGTTCGCTCACTTTGTTTCTGAGATATTTCAGTTTGTTTGGTATGCAAATATCCGGAATTTACGTCACAAATACATGATGACTTAAAGTAAAAGCTTGTATATCGTATTCACTATCGAGTTTAATTCATTAAAATGAAGTTTGGAGTTGGTGGACGATTACACACCTATGTAAAACATCATTTATAGCCTTTTTATTTCATGATATTTAACTGTACCTTACTGTACATTCTTTGATCAGTCATTGTTCAAATGTGACGTAAATTCCGGACATTTGCATGTCAATGAAACTGAAATAACTCGGGGACAAAGTGTGCAATCGAAAATCTTCAAAATAAGTTGCAATATCATTTCAGGGGTTCTTAAGAATGAGATGTTAGAAGAGTGAGAAGTCGAGGTTACGTGCACTTTAAGTGAAACTGATTTGATAACTTGTTAACCTGAGATTTCAAAACGTTAGTTATAATAGTTTATTTTAACCAGTTTGTGTGTTAATCGCCCGCACTTAATACCCATGCATGATATACCTTATATATGTAAGATAATGTACTTTTAAGCGCATGTTACAGTAGTTGCAAAAACGTGTCATTTTCAATTTTTTATTGAAATCTTCGGATAAAACGGCGTGCGTCTCTCCCTTACGTTTTGGCAGATAGTCAAATTAGCTAGATAGTCAAATTAGTATCTATGTGAAAATCAAACGGGCACCGCCCAGGTGCGCTTTATTGCAGAATTGTAACCTACATGTATACAGTAAATGTTCGTTCAAATGTAAATTGTAAATTGTTCAAACACTATTCTGCATTGTTCAAACAACAGTAGCAGTGTGTAGCCATCTTGCTTGACACATTTCTGGAAGTTCTTCCCATGAATAACGATCGAAGTTGAAAGCTTCGACTGACTTTAGGTCCCGTAATTGCTCATCTCTTCCTCCCAGTACTACAATGTTGTTTCTAATAACAACTGCAGTACATCCAAACCTGTTACATTTCATTGGTGGAAGCATGTGACTGTGTTCTGTCATAACATTGTAAATGAGAACTGTATCTAATTTTTTCCCTTGTTTGTCAATGCCGCCTATTACAACAATGTTGTCTCCCCATCGGACAGTTGCCATGCTGCTCACTGCATACGGCAGTGGTGTCAACTGTTTACATTCATTGTTCTTTATATCGTACAGTACGACACTGTTGAGGTTGTCTTGGTACCTACGAGTTGTACTTCCACCAACGATCAACAAATGGTCTTCAAATATTTCAGTACTATGTCCTCTTCTTGGCTCTGGCATCTTTGCTGAAGTCTTCACAGTATAGGGATGGACGAGCTGGACTTCGTGAATACAATTGGACGTTTCCTTCAGATTTCCATTATAACCACCGGAAACTATTAACTGATCGTTATACAGATCACTGCTGTGGAATGCCAATGTTTCAGGCAGTTTAACGGCGCATCCACTCCAGTGTGCTAAGAGATCAGGATATGGGTCCTTATCGATTCTAATCGTACTATCGAGATGGGCAGAACCAGGACAGTAACCTCCAGCTATTCTCACATCTTTGTTGTAAACATATGAAGACGCTCCATGTCGCACTTCTGGCATGGATTGCAGTGGCGACCATGTTCTCTGAGGCCAGTTAAAGATCTGTACAGAGGCAGTTCCCTTACCTCCAGCGACGATTATATTTTCCTTATCACCACTTGCTATATTCCTTACTTTTCTTGTGTTTTCTTCTTTTGTATCCTCTGTTTTGACAAGAACGTCCTTCATTTGATTAAAACCATCGATTAAAGCTGACTTCAATCCTTTTACCTCATCATTCATTGCTTCGAATTTTTCTTCCATATCTGTTTTAATACCTGCGATATTTCTCTCCATTTTGGTTTCCATATTCGACATTTTCGTTTCTGTAATTGCCATTCTTTGCTCAATATCTGCCAACATTTTTGTCATTTCTCCGCACGATTTGCACTTCATCTGTCGAAATTCACACTCTTCACTGTCATGGCGAATAAGATCACGCCTGTTCAGAGTGATGCCACAGCCTTGGTTTGTACAAACGAGTGGTAGAAATCCACATATAGCCTCATGGCGTTCAAGATGTTGTAGCTGTACAATTTCTTGACAACCCCTGTTGATATAAATGCAATGTATATTTAATTCATTCAAATAATCTTTTACCATTCTATTGGGCTTAATCAAAGTGTCTACGGTCAGTTTGTCCGCACACGTAGGACATCTTTGTGACCTCTCGAGATGCCTGGTAATACAAGCACGGCAAAAACAGTGTTGATTTCCTGGGCACAGCACAGGGTCTCTCAATACATTGAAGCAAATCAAACAAAGGAAATTTCGATTGACTGTGATTGTGAACCGGTCTTCGTCATAACCTTGTATATAAGACGCCATATTTCACGCCATTCTTCAACTCTTGTCTCTTAATAGTAAAGCGAGATCTTAAAGCCAGTTCTGTAGCAAAGTCGCTCTGTAGTTAAAACCTCTCTGTATAGACAAAATGTTGATATGCTGTTCGTTCTTGTGGAGAGTTTGTTATTGAGATTCAGTATTGAAATTTTTAACCAATTTGTTTTCAGCAACAGACAAAATACAAGGGTTTATTCATGGTTTGGATCACTTTCATGTATTGTGGCAAAAGGTCATAACCTCATTATATTAATACCGGTTTGCAATTGGTTACATTATCTTCACAAGCAT